GTGACATAGTACACACACTGTAATGTTTTGCACAATCATACTAATATTATAAAGTTGTAGAGTACTACTGGGTAGAATTGAAGATTTCTTTTAGTGTTAGATATCCCCTTTGATTATGTAATAAGACACAATATATTACTATTGCCCTATCAACCTAGATGAGTGCAGTCTTCGGGAACGCTGACTTGTGTATAGTGATCCAGGAGCCCATTTATAGCAGAGATCGTAAAATGGTTTACATTACACTACTAGAAAGGACTTTTCTCGATTAGAATTGACCTTTTTACCATAAAAAATGAGAGTTAAAAAAAGTTTATTTCGAAATTTGAATTTACTGACTATTTTTTATTGATATCACACACATTTGTTATCCGATGACATTCGAAATTTAAACCTGGCGTCTATATGTCAAATGATTGACAAAAGTAGAAGCCGTGTGAAGCCAAGTTATGAAAAGAAAACTAACATAGCGTCTTAAATGAGATGGAAAATATACTACTGAAAAATTATGCTGACTGCAACAGTAAAAATATATTTGTATATAACTTTTAATATTAAACTGCATGACGTAACAGCTTATTTTAGCTAATCTTACACAACCTGAATAACCAACCTAACAATAACTCATTATTCTAAAGCCATGCCTTTTAGAATTCTAAGAACTAAAGCATCTATTCACACACCATCACATCCGTAAAAACTACAAACCATCTGTCAATACAAACGCGATTCATAGTAACAAAGAAATTACTGAGTAAACTCACAAACAGACAGACTGAATGCTCCTCTGTCCAATAACAGTGTTTCATAGTATCTACACAAGACCGTTTCTGTCGCGCGACCTCGTGCCAAAAACCAACGATATACGACCCCCATACCCTGAACCAATACCCTCTCATCATCTGCGATGATACATCATGGGAATGACGAGGTAGATCACCAAACACTGGCCGGTTTTATAAAGACCTACTTGTAAGTACCAAAAGCACCTCTGCATTTTAGAACCCGATTGCAAGGTTAGATTTGCGATTTTTGAGGACTCTATTGTTGAGGAGTAGAGTAGGTTTTGGATTGACTGAAGGGGTTTTTGTCTTGTACAGTGGATCTTTGAAGGCAAACAAGATCGTGAAGAGTATTGAACGCATGATTCGATGATGTGCATAATATGGATGTTTAGTGTATCGGCTGTGTTACTAAGAAATTTGGTGCTGAATAGCAGGTTGTTATCTACGTGTATGTTTTTCTTAAGCCAAGTCTCATAATACATATTATGTAATAAAAGGTTACTGAGAAAATTGTCTTATTGAATTAAATTTTTAATACATGCATTTTTTTACTTCAAGAAGTTAACATTTCCGCTTTTTCTCAAATTATCCTATCATGATAATTAAGGAATAAGACAGATATTATTTCGTTCGATTTAGATAGTTTAGGTAACAAAAGAGCAGAGCCATTATCACGATTGAGTAATACCCATTTGTTAAATATAAAAATGTTTATTACTTAATTACATACTAACGGCAGAACTCATTTGGATATTTTTTGCACAAAAAGATTATAACCTGGATTCATCATCAACAGCCTATACTAGTCCACTGCTGGACATAGGCCTCTCCTTAGAAAGGAGGTTTTGGTCTACTATACCACGCCTGGATTACCACATGACAAAACCGAGGTTTTTGGCTGATACTCAACAACCTAAAGACCCTTGTTCCGTAGTCTCTTAGCGAATACTACAACAGTGAGTATATTACAAGAAATTATGCAATATACTACCAATACAGTTTCAAGTACAAGAATTAAATCCTGTCAATGAATTCATAACAAGATTGAATGTTGCGCGCTAATAACTATTGAACGTATATATTGTATCTAAAACTAGATATTACATAATAAACTCAGTAATGATAAATCAGAGTTCGAAATTATATCGCCATTTTATACAAAAGCAATTATTTTAAGTGTGATTCAATTTACCGTGGGAAGAATTAATTGGTACAAGATCCAAGGTCCGATTCTATCAATTGAAAGGCTTCGACCTTCGTTATCAATCGCTGGTGTTTACTTCTCAATCTCTTCTTGTATACAGTTTATTTAAAGCCAAAGTTTATATTATATTGAAATACCAAAGTCGTGTCTTTTTATTTATCTTTCGAACAGCATCAAAACATTTGACAATCAACCCGTTAAATGTCAAAATATTGACGATGTTTTGACGTAATATAACAGTGTAACAATAATGTCCTATTTACGATCATAGTTATTAAATAGTTAGGAATGTGGTAAACGCATGGTTGTTTGTGTATTTGCCATTTTTGCCTTAGATTAGAAGATAGACGTATCTGTTAATCATAGGAATAAACCAAGGAACGAATAGGTATCATTCCTCAAAAATGACGTGAGTGTAGCTCACACAGCGTAAAAACAGTAGCTGACAAATTGACTGTAATTTAGTCAATAATAATTGGGTGTTTTTCTAATTCTGGTTGGAATGTGTTACCGTTTCTTAAGGAAGAACCTGAGGACCTCAGTATCGGATTCACTAAAATGTCTAGGACCACGCATTTTTCTATCAAAAGCTACATTAGACCGGGTATCTAAAAATTTTATAGAAAGTCTCTGATATGAATTTATCTTCACCGTACAGAAAACCATGTTCCCGTGTTCTAATGCTTTCTCTCTTTTGAATTTTAAGCCTTTTTCATAATAAAGTATTCGAACAGACAAATACAACAAACAACTACAGCTGGACTGATAGTCAATGCATCGCCAACGTTTTTATAAAACTGGCAACTCAGCAGTCCAATCTGTCAATGAAGTCATTGATACTGAGAATCATCACAAAGAAAACATTGCAACATCAGATTATGTTCATGTGAACTATTAAATTTTATTCTTAGTTACGACATAAAAGTTTTCACGTCAGTAAACAGTTTACAGTTAACTTATGCGTGTATGGTAAATAATTATATTTTTGAAACAAGTTTGAGTATGGCAAAATTACTTACCGCATTATGTACCTATATTGTCTGTAAAATTTGACTTGACTTTAAAAACTGCGGTAGTGTTGGCAACTTAATTTCTTGCTTAAGGGGTACATGATTTTTGTGTTACCATAACTGAGTGGGAAATATCATTTACGTAGCTGAGACTGATGAAGAATAAAACAAACGTGATAAGTACCTAATAAGTGAAAAAGGGAAATAAACCTCCGCTTACCTTCGAAACATGTCTTGAAGTATCTAAAAAGCGAGATGGCCCTCCAAAAGCTAGTAATTGGACGTACTTTGGAGCCTTTGGATGGGAAAAGACCGGCCAAAAGGAGGTTTATGGATGGATGGATTTTAAAATTAGAGATGTCTTTAGATTCGTCGAATTTTGTTAGAATGACACTGGGTATATGAACATTATAAAACATAAAATCGCTAGTCTCTAAATTTGGAGTATACATTTGCGAGCCGTCGGGTTTTTCTCTTTTATAATAATATGGTGGTTTAAATTTTTCATTCAGTAGTCAGGTTCTCTTAGCAATACAATGTTTAATTATTATCAAGAACGGCAATATTTTTTACAATAGGTTAAATGTCAGCAAAGAGCCTACAGGTCAGTATACAATTATTAAAACAAAGACGGAGGTGATAGGTCAACAATTAGCCTCAATCAGACGCCAGGAAGACTGAATTAAGCTATTACTGGCTTTGGCTCTGACCCTATAGATAGGGGTCTTACTCATTATACCGTATCGTGGGGTACTCTATAGGCTGTTCGTGACGTTGTTTAGTTAATAAAGGTGTTTGAATCGGTCTGGTAGAACATCTACATTAAAGCTCAACTGAAAATTGGATTATAATCCAGAAAACTTTTCAATTCATCCTCAAGATTCGACATATAAGGGCCTGCTCGTCCGGAGTAATAAGGTCATAGCTAATTACACTCACCCGACACCTGAGCATCACCACCTCGTCACGCCGTGGACGCCGTGTTGTTAACCAGTAGACATGGTACCAAATCACAGTGAACTGTGATTTATCATTCGATTTTTTCGTACGTAGATTAGGGTTAGTACTTACTCACGCGTTCTTGCCAATAACCTCTTTTCAGACGAGGTGTGACCACGGCCGGTGCAACCTGGTCGAAACGTCAGGCAAACCAGAGGTATGTCATACCCTAAATAAGAGATCGCGTTAATTCCCGTTAAAATAATATTAATTATCATGGAACGCGAAAGTTTAAAAGTTAGTAAGTAGTACTTAACCCTAAGCTACGTACGAAAAAATCTAATGATAAATCACAGTTCACTGTGATTTTGTTCCATGTTTATTAACCAGAAAACGATACGACAGATACGTTCAAGGGGGAGCGATGTGCGGTAAACAACTCGCCGTCCCCGCGTTGACAACCCGCGGGCGAGGCGTTCCGGACTTGATGTAGTGAGCATTTACCCATAGTAATCCATACAAAGAATATTAACCGCTCGAGACGAGGCGGTGCTGGTGGGGTGCCGGGTAGTTCTAATGAACCTTCTGATATCACAGGTATAGGTGTTAAGGTGAGGTGAGTCCAGGGAACACGCTTTTTAAAAAGTTGCTATAATTAAACTACTTTAACTTGGTTTCTAGAAATTTAACTATGAAATATTAAGTCCTTTCTGCAGGGTCAACAGCTATTGAAAACATGATTAATGATTTTTGGCTCGATAGAAAAAAATCGCGAACATTGCTCTAAATTGCACTAATTAAAAATTATAACTATTTAATACAAGCATCTTTTTAGATTAAAATTACATCAAAATATTTATAATTTTAATTACGAGGGACATCAGCTATTACATTGAGAAATAACACAATAAAAAAAATAAAAAAAACAGAAATTACAATTTACGATCGCGCACCCTCCCCGTCTCTCGATCGCTGTCATTCGCTGTCAACGTCAGTGCTCTGGGAGCTGCGTTCGAGGCAGGACGTGTGTCGCGCGTCCGTGTAACACAACGTAACAAAATAATGGGTAACAAAAAAAATAAAAGGAAGCGTGCGAGACTCCGTCATCTCGAGACTGTGAGGGCCAATGGAAGGAGAACTGCTGCACTACGGTAAGTGTTCCGTATGGTAGGTTACAAAGTCCATTTCTATTTGACCCGCAAATCATTATGATATTATAATAAACGTAAACGTATATAATACATAAATATAATACATAAACGTCTGTACTGTATATTTATTTTTGTGTTTTCAATAAAGATTATTCTTATTGTAAAATTTTATGTTTCGCTGTTTTAGTTGGTCGAGTCACAATAAAGAAAATAACGAAGCCATATTTATTTCTTCAAAAATATCAGATGAGTAAGTATTTATAATATTATTGTTATTACATTTTATCTAATTTTTAAAGAAACAATATAATTGTTTGGACTATTCAGTGTCAATAAATGAGTAAATACAGAAGCGAATATCTTGTGTGCATGTGCCTGGACGCCGCGAAATAAACACAGTGTAGGAATATCAGAAGGACAACAAAACAACGTGATACACTTTATTTTTTACTAGAAACTCTTATTTTTTACTAGAAACGATTTCTCTTTTTGTCTCCTTTGGAAAACTTTATTATAAATCTTCCTTGGAATATCTGTAAACCCGCATTGAAATCCATTCAGTAGTATTTGAGTTTATCGCATATCGAACTACCGACAGACAGACGCGGAGGGGGACTTTCTTTTATAATATTAGTGAAACTGTTCACGTTTTATACAGCCTATTGTAGAAATATGAATGTTTTATGTTTTATTTCAGACACACTGAAAAAAATAGGTCGCCGTCGTTGATGCAGATGCGTACACTTTCACCGACATCGTAAGTATAGATATATTTAACTAAATTAAATTAATATGCACATGCAGTGCTGTTTTGGAATTTTGTATATATATAGGAGTTGTAAATTTTTTATATGTATAGATTATAAAAATATTAACGGTTTCAATTTAATTTTAGATGCGAAAGTTCATATATTGGGAACTGTATGGATGAAAATAGGTCGCCTTTGGTGCAGCTGCATACAGTATCGCCGATAACGATACCGTAAGTATAGATATAAACAAAATTAAATGAATATGCATATATGTACAAAGTTTTGCATTGGAATTTTGTATATATAGGGGTCGTTTAAAATTATATTATATGTACATTGTAATATTAAAAAAAATAAAAATATGTTTTAACTAATGAATGTCTATGTTGAATACAAATGAATAAACTAACTGGTCCGACACCACAAATTCTAACAAAACCAATAATCTCGGGCGCCAGGTGCCGGCTTAAATGAATATAGACAACTAATAATAAATACAATAAATACCTGGTATAGCTCGGTCAGCGCTTAGACTTTTGATCTAGGGTGGGGGAAAGCTATAAAATAAAGAGAGATGTTATAAGATTAAGAGGCAGTTTATTTATTCCGTAGTGTCTGTAAAATCTCGACTGTGACGCCATCTCTCCAAGCTTTACTGAAACGTCAGAAAATTCCTCTGTCAAAACAACCTACAAAATAAACAACACGTCGATAATTAAATTTTCTGTAATGGTGCAAAAGGCAACGTTACAACATATAGATTGTAGAAATATTAACTATGAGTAATGCTTACGCTTATAGTATACGCTAATACTTTTTTATTTTGTTGTAGGAGCAACGATAAATCATTGATAATAGAAGAAGAATGTGAAGATTCTATGAGTGAAACCCATAAGGGTCGAAGATTAATAGACATTACATATTTTTTTTGAACGCTTGCAAGAAATATCAGCACATGCTTCATTGTTTCATTGTAATCTGAGTAATATAACCATAATTGGTGAAAAACGAATCGGTTTCATATCACATTTTAAATTAAAATGCGAACTTTGTGGCAAGTTTTTTTCGGTTTCATCAGACGATCCAAATCCCACAAACAATGTTAATATCAATACCGCTGTATGCTCGGGCATAGTTGCTGCAGGTATAGGATATTCCCAGTTAGAAGAAATATGTAGTGCTATTGATGTACCAATATTTACAGAAAAATATTTCGCAAAAGTCCAAAGTAAAGTCTTTGATGACTGGGAAGCCACCGCTATAGAAGCTATGGAAGCAGCAGCGAACCAAGAGCGAAAGGTCGCTATTGCAGAGGGTCGAGTAAAGGATGGCAAACCAGTTATTGACGTTTATGTTGACGGTGCTTGGTGTACTCGCTCCTATGGAAACAACTATAGGGCTCTATCAGGAGTTGCTGCAATAGTTGGAAGAAGATCCGGTGAGGTTCTCTTTATCGGCGTAAAAAACAAATATTGCTTAATATGCGCAAGAGCTGAAAAAAAGGAAGAAACTCCAAAAGAACATGTATGTTATAAAAATTATGAGGGCTCGTCATCTGGCATGGAGGCTGCTATAATTTGTGAGGGATTCATGAAATCTGTTGAAATGTATGGGCTAATTTATGGAAACGTAATAGGAGATGGAGACTCCTCCACTTACTCAAAAATCGTCGCTGCAAACCCGTATCCCAATCATGTAGTAAGTAAAATAGAATGTCGGAACCACTTATTGAGGAATATGTGCAATAAGCTTCGAGCTATTACAAAAAACACAAACTACCCACTTTCAAACAGGAAACTCATTACGGATAAAAGAATTATGAGTATAAGAAAAGTCATAACAACTTCAATCAAAGAAAATAGGCAACAAATCAATAACCGAGATGAAGCTATAAAACATCTTCACGAAGATATTTGCAATTCGATCAACCATGCATTTGGAGACCATAGGTCATGTAAAGATTTCTATTGCAATAAAGAAAAATCATTTAATGAGAACGTCATACCTCAAATAGAAAATTCTATATTTTGGTTTAGGGTCCGTGTCGTTATTAATTCAGTCGCTTCAAAATCACGCAGCCTTCTGGAAAACGTTGACACAAACACAGTAGAGCGATTAAATAGTGTCATAGCGAAATTTGTGGGAGGGAAAAGGATAAATTGGTCTTTACGTCGATCTTATCAATCGAGATGTTCAGCTGCGGTCGTGGCATTTAATACAAAAAGACCAATTTATACACTTCACAAGAAGATTTTAGGGCAAAGTCCTAAAGGAAATTTAAAAAAATATCAAGAAAAAAAAGACCGGAAAAGAAATCTGACAAACCTCGTTACGAGGAAAAAAAATAGAAAAAGGAAATTATTTGAGAAACAAAATGATTACGGCGAATCTCCTGCTACCCCCGATATGAACGAAGTAGATTTAAAACAAGCAACAGCATCATTTTTGGCACGTATTAAAGATTTAGTAAAAGATAGAAAAAGTATTCAGAAAAAGACAGTATTACAACGGGATTCCAGTGAATGGCTCGAGCTAAGAAAGTTAATCTTAACGGCATCAAATTTTGGCAACGTAATAAAAAGGAAAAAAAATTACGGGAATTGCGTTAAACAGATTTTATATAAAAAGAATATTTCTTTTGTCCACTCAATTGCTCATGGAGTTGAAAACGAGGATATCGCACTTCAACAGTTGGCAAAACAAGAAAACATTATGATAAAACCTTGTGGTCTTTTTATTGACCCAGAAATTGATTTTTTAGGTGCTTCTCCAGATGGAGTTGTAGGTGAAGATACTGTCGTTGAAGTGAAATGTCCTATGGCTGCCCACAAAAAAGGAATGAAAGCAGCCATAACAGAAAACAAAATTCAAATATTGCGTCATAATAAAAAAACCGGAAATACGTCAATAAATAAAAATAGTGATTGGTACTTTCAAATTCAAGGGCAACTACATATTTCAAGAAGAGAAAGGTGCATTTTTGGTATATGGGGAGGGGAAGACCAAAAAATGGAAGTATTATACATAAAAAGAGATGAAGATTTTTGGAGAGAGTACATGGAGAATAAGCTTGTAAATTTTTATATGACACAAATTATACCGGAGATAGTGGATTCTCGACATGTTCGGGGAATGCCTTTACGTAACACGACTGATAAGGTATGCCAGTGACCTCATTTTTAGAGCAGCATACTAGGACTCTGTCACTCCGCTCATTTATGGGTCTGTGTATACACTTTCATATTAAGGTCCCGGTGATATACAGATATATATATATGTGTGTGTGTGTGAGATATACAACAGGCAGCCATGGCAACGTCCGTCGCGCCATAAGGATCACTGTTTTCCGAAGACACCAAAAATTGTATATGACGCTCACTTGTCTACTTACGAAATAAAGATTTTTTTCTTTTTTTTATCACGAGCTATAATTCAGTGTTTTGTAAAATTATTTATGGCTAGTGACCCAACCCGCGGCTCATGTTGAATATTATTTACTTTATTAATAAATAAAATTGTCTTTCTGTGTGGTTTATTTATTTTCGTATAATTATACTAGCTGATCCGGCAAACGTTGTATTGCAACAAAAAAAAATTAGGGATGGGTCACCCTTACCATTCAAAATTGTGAATCTAAACCATTCCCAGATCCCCTTGAACACACACAAAAAATTTCATCAAAATCGGTCCAGTCGTTTGAGAGAAGTTCAGTGACATACACACTCACAGAAGAATTATATATATAAAGATTTCCAAATGGAATAAATATGTACTCAAGCAAGAAACAGTCTTGGTAAATATTTCGCGCAAATAATATTTATATCGTTTTCAGTAAATAATCAGAAATACATTCATAAAAAACTATCAAATTGCCGATATCCAATCATTTTAATTTCAAAGTAAGTAGGTAACTATTGTTTTGTCGGGTGTGGTACTACTGGTAGTCGCTATACTGCGGCAGCTCGGCAGCGATAGCGCGCGAAGTAAATATTTCGCGCGCTTGCAAGCGGGCAGCCCCGCACCTGCTCCTCTCAAGCCCCGCACCTCACCCCCTCGAAAACAGCCAAGCCCTGAACTCACGTCACCTTAAGTAATTCACACACTCACGTCTTAATCGCATACGTACTATACATTCTACATAATTCTCACGGTATAGTAAACAATTCAAGAATAGAGTCAATACCAGAACTTAATCGTGTATCCGGCAACTATCCGGTATCCAGCTTATCCGGAAAATAACTACAATGAACCTTTAGACATCACAGGTATCGGTATTAAGTAATTCCTTGGTTGCTTTTTATTGGGTGACTCCAACAACTTCCCCCCTGTTGGTCTAGTGTTTAGTGACCCTGACTTCTACGCCAGAGGTCGTGGGTTCAATTCCCACCCAAGACAAATAATTATGTGATGAGCACGGTTATTTGTTCTGTCTGGGTGTACTTTATCTATAAAATGTATGTATTTATTGACATATTGGTATGTTATCAGCAGTCTGATTACCATAGTACAGGCTCTGCCTAGTTAGGGATCAGTGTGTAAGATGTGTGAAAATATTTATTTAAATTTATTTATTTCTAGAGTGGAAATCATCACCACCCAGGGTGGCAAGACATTTGTATCTCTAGAGTTGCTGGTGTCTATAGGCGGTACTTCTGTATCTTCTATCTTATATACCTGTGCTTAAATGCTTATGGTATCATAGCTATGTGTTTATTTTTATAAATTTGGGTATATCAAACAGTGTGTTGTGTAGTATTTAGGAATATTATGAATCGCTACTTTCATACATATAACTTTTCCGCTCTAAAACCAAACTTTTTCTACCACTTCAGAATATTGACATTTCAGTATTCTCAAATTCGTCTGTGACCATCATTTTATTTACATTATCTCTCCTTTGAATCGTTTTAAAGCAAAATAGTAAATTATCGTATGATTTGATACATTATTAGAGTGTGAAGTTATTAGTCCCCCCGTACGGTGGATCTGTCATAACTTATCAAGGCGCCAAAAGTTGCCGCAATGTTGTAAGAGGTCTTATACGAGTATAAGGCAAATTATTAGTTGTCAGTAAAATTGATATTCCTATTAGTTAGTGATCCTGACTGCTAAGCCGGACGTCGTGGGTTCGATTCCCACCCAGGACATATATTGTGTGATGAGCACGGTCATTTGTTCTGTGTCTGGGTGTCATCATCAAAAATCAAAAGCCTTCACTAGTCCACTGCTGGACATAGGCCTCTCCCCAGAAAGGAGGCTCTGACCTACTATGTCTGGGTGTAATTTATCTATAATATGTATGTATTTAAATATATATAAGTACGTTTATCAGCAGTCTGGTTACTATAGCACAGGCTCTGCCTAGTTTAGGATCAGACGGCTATGTGTGATGTATAATTATTATTATGAATTAACTACCTTTAGTGAAATATATAGATGTAAATATGTGACATCAGAAGGTTTGACAGATGTTATTTTCTGGAGTTTTCGATTTCCATCCCTATTAACCTCTTTTGATCCCTCAATTGACTCTATTTGGCTGTAGATGTAGCGCTTAATGGCTATTGTTTTTATATTATTAATAAAAAAATCTTTGATATGTTGAAGAATGACCAGCAATTTGATTTAAATTGATAATAATGTGTTGTTCTCTGTTTGTATTCTTAGGTTATGGTATAGATAAAGATGTATTTGTTTTTTTTTAAAGACAACTACCGCATTAGGAATATGTCCTGTGTCGCGGGGACTTTACAAATTATATGAAATACATGAAACGGACACAAAGAACACATCGTCGTCGTCCAATATGTGGGGTTTGAACCCACAACACTCAGCGTAGTAGGAAGCGGCGTGGCGACCGCTTTAACCACTGCGCCATCCGTGCAGTCGCTTGTTCTTTACTTGTTAATGATACTTCAATTAGCCTTTTATGACAATTTCAATGCCTTCTTTCTTTTAAGTAATAACTTGAAAAGAATTATCAAAATCAAACTACATATTCTGTAAAAAGTTATGCGTGGTCAATGGTCATACATTACAATCAGTGAGTGAACAATCAATCATCTCCTGTTTACCTACCCTTAGGGTTGTTTTTTTTCCAAATTTATATGGGACCAATTTCGGTCTACCTTTTCCAATAAAAAAGAATTATTAAAATCGAACTACTCTGTAAAAAGTTATGCGTGGTCATACATAAAAAAAAAAAATATACACGACCTCCTCCGTTTTTGCGTCGGTTAAAAAAGAAAAAAGAAATCTACTATGAATACATGAACTGCCACAGTGCTTTTAGTGTCGATGAGCTTGATCCTAATATAGGTAGGGCAATTTATTTCTGTACAAATTTACATGTGAATCACACACAGATAGATAATATTAATTGTTTTGAGCCCGAATGTAGGTACTCTGTGCTAACCACGACACCGCGTCATTAAAAAATAAATAAAGCATAGTGCTGAATTTAATTAACATTATTTAACATTATATTGGTGTACAACATTATAATAGAAGATATATTTATTTAAAGTCAAATGTAGAGAGCCGAGCAGAACAACATCTCTAGTAGTACGATCACGGTCGATTTTTTTTCATTCGTTTTACAAAGAGGCCGAATCCATCATGCTGCTTGTGCCTGCAGACATGACGTTTTTAATGTGAATCTGTATCATTAATTACTGTCAAATATAATGATAGCATCTTCAACTGACATAGAGCAGTATTGTACATAGGTACATTATTTTATAAATGATTTCGAAATCTCTTACACTACTTTTAACTTTGGAACAATAACATATTGGTATTGGTGGAGGAGTCATTCACACAGTACACAAATATCTGATTACTTACATATGTTTTCTATCTATTTTCAAGAAATAGATAAAATAAATTACCTACGCGTATTGAATCAGCAATAAACACAGTTCAGTTTGACATTTGATATGTATTATTGTGACGTGTCAAATAGTTTTAGAGGATCCGCTAAATATCACACACGCACTTCTAAATCACAAACGCACTATACGTTCTATATAATTCTCACGGTATAGTAAACAATTCAAAATTAGGGTCAATGCTAGAGCATAATCATGTATCTAACTATCCGGTATCCGGAAAAAAATAAAGTTGGTACTAACAACGGATGTTAAATTAGGCACTTTATTTAAATACACAACAAATATAATCGACATGTTTTAATTTAAATACCAAAATTAATACTAATTTTATTTATATAATCTAGTAACCCGATTATATTTTTTTGAAACCAAATGTTAAGCATGTCGTCATAGACTCTGTCCGACAGGCATGATCACCTGTTCTAAGTATACTCTGTGTTGACGAGGTATAACACCCGTTCCTCTAAGGTAGTAGGCCGGATATCCGGAATCCGGCCAAACAGCTATCCGTTTCATCTCTAGCCAATACACTTGAAATAGCGACATTTTATCTAATAACGCAATACTAGTAACAGTATCAATAGTCGCGAGGTTGACCCAAAAACCTATCTCCTGATAACATGAAACTGTGTCAAAATAAATAGCACACACATACATATATAATTATGTATGTGTGTATAATTGAAATGGCGCGAAGTAACCCTTACTTTAGGCTACTGTTATTAGTACAAGACAATACAGTACAATAACAACATTCTTTCTCATTCCACCATCATCTATTTGGAAAATATACCGTTTTACCATTGGGAGGGGCATTCTTCGCTACAAATGGACCAGCTCGACCGGAGTGCTACCACGTCCTCACAGGAAACCGGTGTTAGGCAATTCTTTCGTTCATCAGGGGTACAGGGAAAGACATAGAGTATCATTGATTCTTAAAATATAATGTAAAGAGAGCGAAGTAGCAGGTAAAAGTTAGTTTAATATAATAAAAAAAAAGCATGCAGTTACCAGCTACCGGAACCGAGTCCAAAACCAATTGTCCATACATGAAAAACCTTGTTATTTGAAACAATAGAAACACTTAGCTATAGTTTTATCACGGGGTCAGCGATACCATTAAGTCATTTAAAGGTTGAGATTCACTAGAGAAAAGAGAACACAGAAATCTACGAATGTATAAAATGATTGATCTATGGTATTAACATCCGAGTCTAAAATAACATCAAAATAATAAATAAACTATATTGTATTCAAAATGTGTTTTTTGCCGGTTTAGCTCTCTTATATTGTATCAAACTAATCAGTCCTAGATGCTATTTATTTTAATTCAATTCGAACGGTTGTAAGCGAACACTAATTAAACAAAAACAGTAAAATTTAAAAACCGTGTACCGTTCAGGAATACTTCTTATTGATTTTCAAAAATGCAAAACAAAAAATGTCGGTCATCCATTCGCAAACAAATCAATGGCCGGCTCCGAATCTGGAAGATCATTAAGCACAGTAAGTGTTCGCAATATTGCTCGATTTCGTTCTGGCAATACAAATACATATATTTAATATCTTAGATATTCATATAAATATGGCATATTCGATCAAATGTCAATATTATCTAGCATAATTATGTTTAAAGAAGCACTCCCTGCATTCAGCGTTTTTAATAACACACGTACGTATTAACTTGTATGAATTATGTCTGATATAGCCAAACCGTCCATGCTTATGTAGACTTCTTTGCCCGTTATATGGGAAGAGAGCTATTTATTTGAAATTTCTCAGCATTTACTCAAACTAGAATCGATGTGCAGGTGTAACAGTACCTTATAGGATACGTCGTAGTGTAAGTGCACCTTTAAAACTGCTGGTTCGGAACAGGAAGTGAACAACTCTTTGTACAAGATAGTTACTCTGTTATTACTTATTCATTGCGTATTTATTTCAAGTTCATTATACATAATTAAATATAAAACAATGTATGCTTAAAAGTTCAATAAAAAGACTTGATAACTATAGTATAAAATTCTAGTCACGTTTTTATTTCCAGTAGTTTGTAGAACTTGCTGTGACCAGAAACATTACATTTTAAAAGCTTACGACAGGTTACATACTTCTATGACTGGTCGCGTACCTGACACCAACCCATTAATGTCAACGGATAGGGTGACCTTTGTTGGAGACGGTATCCCTTACCATA